ACCTTCAGCGGATTGGCTACAGATGATGCTCAGGGTTTTCTGGAGGAGTGTTATCGTATTCTCCGTACTATGGGCGTAGCAGAGACGAGTGGGGTTTCTTTTATCACTTTCCAGCTTAGAGGAGCAGCCTATCAGTGGTGGCGTGCTTATGAGTTGAGTAGTCTGGCTGACGCAGCTTCGCTTACATGGACTCAGTTCTCGGACATGTTTTTGAGAGAGTATGTCCCTTAGAGCCTCAGGGACTCATGGCGCGCAGAGTTTGAGTAGTTGTGCCAGGGTGCTATGACTGTGTCAGAGTATGCAGTTCTCTTTAGTGATTTGGCCCGACATGCACCGGCCTTGGTTGCCACAGTTCGAGAGAGGGTTCGACGGTTTATTGAGGGGCTCCACCCCAGCATCCGGATTAGTATGTCTAGGGAGTTGGAGATGGATATTCCTTACCAGCAGATTGTGAGTATTGCTAGGAGATTGGAGGGCATGCTTGCCCGGGACCGATAGGAGAGAGAGGCCAAGAGGTCTCGAGAGACTGGTTCTTATTCTGGAGCTCACGCCCCAGTAGCTCGCCATGGTAGGGGTTATGTGGGTCGCCCCGTTCATTCAACTCTTCTAGCTGCCAGTGATGTTCCAACCCCTTCTAGGCCCCAGGAGCCTTATTATGCGCCGCCAGTATCTAGTGTGCCTCCTGCTCGGGGTACTTTTAGCGGCTAGTCCAGCANACAGTTTGTGAGTATTGCTAGGAGATTGGAGGGCATGCTTGCCCAGGACCGAGAGGAGAGAGAGGCCAAGAGGTCTCGAGAGACTGGTTCTTATTCTGGATCTTGTGCCCCAGCTGCTCGATGTGGTAGGGGTTATGTGAGTCGCCCCATTCATTCAGCTCTTCCAGCTGCCAGTGGTGTTCCAGTCCCTGTTAGTCCCTAGGAGCCTTATTATGCACCTCCAGTATTTAGTGTGCCTCCTGCTCGGGTGCTTTTCGCGGCCAGTCCAGCAGACCTGGCCCGAGTCAGTCACAACAGCCACGCCCTCCGGGGGGTTGTTTTGAGTGTGGCGACACCCGCCATATGGTGAGGGATTGCCCCAGACATAGGAGGGTTGCACCTTCACAGACTTCTCAGCCACTACGTGCTCTACCGGGTCCTCAGGCTATGATTCCAGCACCAGCTACTGCCCCACCCGCTCAGCCATCTCAAGGTGGAGGTCGGGGAGGTCGAGGTCGCCCTAGAGGGGGAGGCCAGGCCGGGTATTATGCTCTTCCGGCTCATACAGAGGCAGTTGCTTCCAACTCTGTCATTATAGGTATTGTTCCAGTCTGTCATAGAGCTGCGTCGGTATTATTTGACCCAGGCTCTACGTATTCATATGTGTCCTCTTATTTTGCCCCACATTTGGGCGTATCTCGGAATTCTTTGAGTTCCCTTATTTATGTGTCTACTCTTGTGGGAGATTCTCTTATTGTGGACCGTGTGTATCGGTCGTGTTTGATTGCTCTTAGTGGTTTTGAGACCAAAGCCAGCTTATTATTACTCAGCATGGTAGATTTTGATGTTATCTTGGGCATGGGCTGGTTGTCACCCCATTATGCTATTCTTGATTGTCACGCTAAGACCGTGATGCTGGTTATGCCAGGCTTACCATGATTAGAGTGGAGAGGTACCTTAGAGTATACTCCCAGCCGAGTTATTTCATTTCTTAAAGCTCAACAAATGGTTGAGAAGGGGTGTGACACGTATCTAGCTTATGTGAGAGATGTCAGTATTGATACCCCTACAGTTGAGTCAGTTCCAGTAGAGAGGGACTATCCAAATGTGTTCCCAGCTGATCTTCCGGGCATGCCGCCCGATAGAGATATTGATTTTAGCATTGATTTGTTGCCAGGCACTCAACCCATCTCTATTCCTCCATACCGTATGGCTTCTCTTGAGTTGAAGGAGCAGTTGCAGGAGTTGCTTGATAAGGGCTTCATTCATCCCTGTGTGTCACCTTGGGGCGCTTCTGTCTTTTTTGTGAAGAAAAAGGATGGTTCTATGCATATGTGTATTGAGTATCGCAAGTTGAACAAAGTTACAGTGAAGAACATGTATCCATTGCCTCGTATTGATGACTTATTTGATTAGTTACAGGGTGCCAGAGTGTTCTCCAAGATTAACTTACGTTCAGGCTATCATCAGTTAAAGATTCGGGAGCCAGATATCCCGAAGACTGCTTTCAGGACCTGATATGGTCACTATGAGTTTCTTGTTATGTCTTTTGGGCTGACCAATGCCTCAACAGCCTTTATGCACTTGATGCACAGTGTGTTCCGGCCTTATCTTGACTTTTTTGTCATTGTATTTATTGATGACATTCTGGTGTACTCCCGGACTAGGGAGGATCATGAGCAGCACCTGAGGACTGTGCTTCATACTTTGAGAGAAAAGAAGTTGTATGCAAAATTTTCTAAGTGTGAGTTTTGTCTAGGCTCAGTGGCATTCTTGGGCCATGTAGTATCGAGTGATGGGATCAAGGTGGATCCGAAGAAGGTTGAAGCAGTGCAGAGTTGGCCCAGGCCGTCCTCAGCAACAGAGATCCGGAGCTTCCTTGGTTTTGGTGGGGTATTACAGTTTGTTTGTTGAGTGATTTTCTTCTATTGCAGCACCTATGACGAGGCTGACCCAGAAGGGTGCTCCGTTTAGGTGGACAGAGGAGTGTGAAGAGAGCTTTCAGAAACTCAAGACAGCTTTGACTACAGCCCGAGTATTGGTATTGCCTTCAAGTTCGGGGTCTTATACAGTTTATTATGATGCGTCGTGAGTTGGCCTCGGTGCGGTGTTGATGCAGGACCGTAGGATAATTGCCTACGCGTCCAGACAATTGAAGGTGCATGAAAAGAACTATCATGTCCACAACCTTGAGCTAGCAGCTATTGTTCATGCCTTGAAGATTTGGAGGCACTATTNACAGGAGGCTCACAGCTCGCGGTACTCCATTCATCGGGTGCCGCGAAGATATATCAGGACCTGAGGCAGCATTATTGGTGGAGGAGGATGAAGAAAGACATGATAGAGTATGTGGCTAGATGTCTAAATTGCCAGCAGGTGAAGTATGAGCATCATCGACCGGGTGGGTTGCTTCAGAAGATAGAGATTCCGGAGTGGAAATGGGAATGGATCACTATGGACTTCATTGTTAGACTCCCACGGACTCAGCGGAAGTTTGACGTAGTTTGGGTATTTGTGGACAGGCTGACCAAGTCAGCTCATTTCATTCCTGTGATGACTACCTATTCTTCCGAGCAGCTGGCTCGAATTTACATTCGTGAGATTATCAGACTTCATGGCATACCGGTATCTTTCATCTCTAACCGGGGGCATGCAGTTTACATCGCGGTTCTGGCGAGCAGTACAACATAAGTTGGGTACTCGGGTGGAGTTGAGCACACCTTTTCACCCTCAGACGGACGGGTAGTCCGAGCGCACTATTCAGATTCTTGAGTATATGCTCCGTGTGTGTGTGATGGACTTTGGAGGTTCTTGGGATTAGTTCTTGCCACTTGTGGAGTTTGCTTATAACAACAGTTATCAGTCCAACATTCAGATGGCACCGTATGAGGCTCTAAGTTCGAGCCGGGCGAAGCCAGATTATTGGGTACGGACTTGGTTCAGGATACCTTGGAGAAGGTGAAGGTGATTTAGGACAAACTTCACACATCCCAGTCCAGACAGAAGAGCTATGCGGACCGGAAGGTTCGTGATGTTGCATTTATGGTTGGAGAGCGGGTCCTGCTTCAGGTTTCGCCTATGAAGGGCGTTATGAGGTTCGGAAAGAGGGGCAAGCTGAGCCCAAGGTTTATTGACCCCTTTGAGGTGTTGCGGCGAGTTGGGAAGGTTGCTTATAAGCTTTCCTTACCTCCCGGCCTAGCAGGAGTTCATCTGGTATTTCATGTTTCAATGCTCCGGAGGTATTACGGTGATCCGTCTCATGTGTTAGATTTCAGCTCAGTCCTGTTAGACAAGGATCTATCCTATGTTGAGGGGCCAGTGGCTATTTTGGACAGGTAGGTTCGGAAGCTGAGGTCAAAGAACATTGCATCAGTAAAGGTTCAGTGGTGGGGTCAACCGATCGAGGATGCGACTTGGGAGATCGAGCGGGATATGCGCAACTGTTATCCTCATCTTTTCACAGCTTCAGGTATGTCTCTATACTCGTTCGAACACAGATGATTGTTTTAAGAGGGGGAGGATGTGACGACCTGGCCTGTCATCTTGAGAGTTATAGCCTCGATCCCTATTAACTGACTTCCCCGTATCTTTTTCTGCTATTGTGACTTGCCGGGAGGTTTCATTTTGGTTTTGGAAGTGTTTGTGACACTTAGTCCCTAAATGGAGGTTTAAGCCTTAGGATTGGCACCGTAGTCGAAACTGAGTAAAGACGACTCTGGAATGGAATTCCTCCGTTAGCTTCGTTGTGTGATTTTGGGCTTAGGGGCGTGTTCGGATTTTATTTTGGAGGTCCGTAGCTCATTTCGGCTTGAAATGGAGAAAGTCGAATTTTTGGAGTTTTGGGCTAGTAATGGAATTTTGGATATCATGGTCGGATTCCGATTACGGAAGTTGGAATAGGTTCTTAGTGTTGAATATGACTTGTGTGCAAAATATGAGGTCAATCGGACGTGGTTTGGTTGATTTCGGCATCGGTTGTCGAATTTGGAAGTTTCAAGTTTCTTTAAGTTTGAATTTGAGGGTGATTCGTGATTTTAGCATTGTTTGATGTGATTTGAGGGCTCGACTAAGTTTGTATGGCATTTTAGGACTTGTTGGTATGTTTGGTTAAGGTCCCGGGGGCCTTGGGTGTATTTCGGAGGCTCAACAGATCATTTTGGACTTTGGAAAAATAGCAGATTTTTTCTGGTTTTTGTTGCAGAAGTTTGTTCTTCGCGTTTGCGAAGAAGAGCTCGCGTTCGCGAAGGTGTGGCCAGTGGAAGCATCGCGAACGCGAGGAGTAGGACGCGTTCGCATAGAGGAAAAATGGAACAGCTGGGACCTCAAGGATTTGTTCTATGCATTCGCGTAGAGGAGAACGCGTTCGCGAAGGGTCTGGCAGGTGAAGCTACACGTTCGCGAGAGGACTCTCGCGTTCGCGAAAGAGGAATTTCGATTAGTGGATTATTGTTCTATGCGAACGCGAGGAGATGGCCGCGTTCGCGAAGAAGGATTTACCAGGGCAGTACTTAAACATTTCAAAATCGAGGGTTAGCCATTTTTATCAAAACTTGAGGTTGGGAGCTCGGATTTGGACGGGATTTGTAGGGATTTTCAGAGATATCAATTGGATAATGATTCTTAACTTGATTTTGGCTATAACCCACTAATCTATCATTAATTTTATCATTTAATTTCGGATTTGGGGTGAAAATTTGGGAAATTTTGAGAAGAGTTCTTAGACCAAAATTTGGGATTTTGATCGAGATTTTGGTATCGGATTTGCGTAAATTTGGTATGGTTAGACTCGTGAGTGAATGGGTGTTCGTATTTTGTAACTTTTACCCGATTCCGAGACATGGGCCCGAGGAAACTATTTGGGGCGTTTCTCTAATTTCTTGCCTTAGCTTTGATTTCGTTAGCTAGATTAGTTTCTTGTAGCTATATTTATGCTATGTAATTGGTTTTGGCTAGATTTGAGCCATTCGGAGTCGGATATTCGTAGAAAAAGCATTATGACGGATTGATTTGAGCTTGGTTCGAGGTAAGTATCTTGCCTAACCTTGTGTGGGAGAACTCCCCTTAGGATTTGGTACTGTTTGATATGTGAGCGCCGTGTACGTGAGGTGACGAGTATGTACACGGGCTATTAGTTGTAAAACTCCATTTTTCACTAAGTCATAACTTATTTTCTCCTTAATTGAAACATACGAGCATATGTAAATATCCTGTTTAGACTAGAATAGCACGCCTACTTGTTTAGCTGCCTATTTGAACTCTGTGCAGCATGTTTAGTAAAATTACCTGCTTTCCGTGACTTGAACTTAGTCTAAACTGTAGGATTTCTTGCTATAACTGTTATTTCGGTAGGTGGCGCTGTATATTTTCTTTAGGACTACGGAACGGTATTCCGGGAGATCCCCATGTACTGCATATTTACTTTGGGACTACGGAACGGTATTCCGGGAGATCCCCCTGTACTGCATATTTACTTTGGGACTACGGAACGGTATTCCGGGAGATCCACATATTTTGCATATTTATTTTGGGACTACGGAACGGTATTTCGGGAGATCCCCCTGTACATTTATGTTTGGGACTACGAGACGGTATCTCGGGAGATCCCATGTTGTTATCACTGTGTTCTGAGCTGTTGTCTTTCGTTGATTCTATTCCTATTAGATTTTCGTATTTATTTTACTGCGATATTTCATTCTGTCTTATTTCATTATATTTATACCAGTAGGGCCCTGACCTGATCTCGTCACTACTCGACCGAGGTTAGGCTTGGCACTTACTGGGTACCGTTGTGGTATACTCACACCCTTTCCTGCACATATTTTTCGTGTGCAGATCCAGGTTCATCTTACCAACCTCATCACTAGTTGCAGTCGCTGCTGCTTATTGGAGACTTCAAGGTACATCTGCTCCCGCCCGCAGATCCTCGTAGTCCCCCTCTATCCCCCTATGTTCATTTTGCCTTCTTTCTGTAGAAATGATGTATAGAACGGTTAAGACTTCTTAGTAGCTTGTGACTTACGGTATTCCGGATTTTGGGAAAAGTGAATACAGTATAAGCCGAGTGGCACTGTTTTTGCTTATTTACTATATCTGTTAGTTGTTATCTTTGTGTTTTCATCTCATTTTCGCAATAATTAGGCTTACCTAGTCTAGAGACTAGGTGCCGTCATGACGGTTCACGGAGGGAGAAATTGGGTCGTGAAAAAAAGTGCCTGGAATGAGAAATTCAATGCTTCAAAGACAGAGGATTCAGAATTCCACCTCCTCAATGGTAGCTCTGTTCGCGCACCTTTCATGACCAGCGAAACAGATCAATTTGTCAAAGAATTTGGTGGTTTCAAAGTTTTGCGACTTCTACTGAGTAAATATTTTTAGAAATTTAATATTTTATTTTAGCTTTGTGAATTTTTTTTATATATAGGGTAAAAATTAAAAATAATTTAAAAAGTCAATTATTACTATTACTATTATGTTTGTTTTTATTTTTTATCTTTATTTTAAAATAAAATAAATTAAAAACCCGAAAAAAAATTAAATATATATATTTTTTAATTTTCGGATTTGAATATGAAAAGTAGAAGTATGGAATTAAAAATTAAAAGTAAAAGTAGGTGTAAATTATTTAATAAAAATTAAAAGAAAGTTGGAATTCAAAAATAAAAAAAAGGTAGCTGAAATATTTTAAAAAAAGTAAAAAAGAGTGGAAAATAAAAAAAAGTAAAATAAGAGGAAAATAAAAAAAGAAAAGAAAAATAAGTGGAAAATAAAAAAAAAGTAAAAAAAGTGGAAATTTAAATATAATAAAAGTAAAAAGTGAGAAATTAAAAAATAAAAGTAAAGGAAAGTGGGGAATTATTTTATTTTTTAAAAAAGAAAAATGGGAAGTGGAAATTCTTTTTAATTAAAAAATAATAAAATAATTTAAAAACAATTCTAAAAAAATTCCGAATTTTTTTCTATAAATAGAAGAGAAATGTGAGGAGAAAAAAAGAGGAGAGGGGAGAAGGAGAAAAAAATAGAAAGGAGGGAATTGAGAGGAATGTTTTTTGTTTCTTCTACGCTAAGGTATTTCTATTCGTGTCATTCTTTCTTTCGAAAATCCAGCCTAAAATTCCAGCAGAAAACCAACACCTAACACCTTATCTTCTTCCACGAATCACCAGCGGAAACTTACCCAAACACTAAAACAAAGAGCTTCAGTCGAGGTTCGAAGCTTCGTCGAGATCCTCACAGCCATCGGCATCGACAGAGTCCTAGCAAGGTTTCTCGATTTTGAGGCATAAGTTGTGATCAATTTCTGAGAGTTGGACGGTTTACACAGATCAGACATCCAGTCTAAGAGGCATGTTATGTTCATTGAAGTCCGCATGCACTCCAGATAAGTCCTTCTTTCCTTTCCCTAAAAGGGATACCTCTCATCCAAATTCACTTGTCCATTCAATTGCTTGTTTTTATTTAAATCCCTTTCGGTCTAACTTTGTTCCGAAACTAAGACAAAGAAGGGATGGCAAGACGGATTTATAGGATTATCGCTTGATACGAGCTAAATATGCAAAAAAAGGCACCCAGCCTCGGCAGGGGCATCAAGTCGACTCTGACTGGCCATGATGGCCGATGCCTCAAAATTAAAAACTCTTGAAAGAAAAAAATCAAAGTCAAATGACCACAAAGGCAAAATAAAGTTGAAAAGGTTAAGTCCCACGTGACTAACCATCATGGTAAAGTTTTGGAAAATCCAAAGGTTCTCCGGGGCCAGAAAATAAATCGGTCTTCAAGAAATAACTAGTTGCAGTTGAAAGTATCATCAAATGAGCCGGGCCGAGATCAAATGATTGAAACACTCAAGGCCGCAAAACCAACCGCCGGTTCAAACTGACAAATTGCTCTTTGTTTGAACCACAGGAAATAGGTGTAATCCAAGGCAACCTTGCAAGAAGCAGGTGCAACAAAAAAAAAACGCGCAGAGACTAATATAGCTTTGCCGCAATGACTCTAAAAATGGAATCTTCTCCAAACTCTTTCCCACATTTTACTCATTCTCTTAATAAAATGATGAAAATGAAAAGAAGGAAAAAGAAAGAAAGTTCCAAATCATGGTAGTATAGGGTCTCCACTCCCTAGTTGACGTTTTAGACATAGGGTCTCTACTCCCTAATCGCTTTTCCTACATAGGGTCTCCACTCCCTAGTTGATTTTATTTTAGACATAGGATCTCCACTCCCTAGTTGATTTTATTTTAGACATAGGATCTCCACTCCCTAGTCTATTTTTCCAACATAGGGTCTTCACTCCCTAGTTGAAGTTATTTTAGACATAGAGCCTCCACTCTCTAGTCTGCTTTTCCAACATAGGGTCTCCATTCCCTAGTTGATGATTATTTTAGACATAGGGTCTCCACTCCCTAGTCTCGTTTCCAACATAGGGTCTCCACTACCTAGTTGATGTTATTTTAGACATAGGGTCTCCACTCCCTAGTCTCTTTTCCAACATAGGGTCTCCACTACCTAGTTGATGTTATTTTAGATATAGGGTCTCCACTCCCTAGTCTGCTTTTCCAACATAGGGTCTCCACTTCCTAGTTGATGATTATTTTAGACATAGGGTCTCCACTTCCTAGTTGATGATTATTTTAGACATAGGGTCTCCACTCCCTGGTCGCTTTTCCAATATAGGGTCTCCACTCCCTAGTTGATGTTTTAGACATAGGGTCTCCACTCCCTAGTCATTTTTCCAACATAGGGTCTCCACTCCCTAGTCTCTTTTCCAACATAGGGTCTCCACTCCCTAGTTGATTTATATTTAGACATAGGGTCTCCACTCCCTAGTCTCTTTTCCAACATAGGGTGTCCACTCCCTAGTTGATTTTATTTTAGATATAAGGTCTCCACTCCCTAGTCTACTTTTCCAACATAGGGTCTCCACTCCCTAGTTGAAGTTATTTTAGACATAGGGCTCCACTCCTTAGTCTACTTTTCCAACATAGGGTCTCCACTCCCTAATTAATGATTATTTTAGATATAGGGTCTCCACTCCCTAGTCTCTTTTCCAACATAGGGTCTCCACTCCCTAGTTGATGTTATTTTAGACATAGGGTCTCCACTCCCTAGGTGATGTTATTTTAGACATAGGGTCTCCACTCCCTAGTCTCTTTTCCAACATATGGTCTCCACTCCCTAGTTGATTTGATCTTAAATGCACGGTACACCACTCCCTGATATCATTGCCAATATAGGGTATACCATTCCCTGGCCACATTTTCCCAACATAAGGTACACCAATCCTTAGTTGAGACATCCTTTTGACAATTAAGGAACACCTTCCAAAAAACAAATCTGCATGATCTTTTCGGGGAACACCACCCCGACCTTTTATTTCTTTCAA